ATTTTCAATCTGTTACTCCCCCCCCCCCCCCCCCCGGCAAGCTGGTGGACAGAGATTTCGCAGACCAAGCTTTGAGAGCAATGTGGTGAATGGCGGTGGGGATAGTGGTTTGGTGAATAGATCTGCCAGCTGATGAGAAGAGGAGATGTAAAGAAGTTTGAGGGTACCGGCTTGGAGCATTTCTCTGACGAAGTGGCAGTCCAACTCTATGTGCTTCGTTCTTTCATGGAAAGTTGGGTTTTTTTGCTATGTAAATGGCACTTTGGTTGTCACAATAGAGGACACCAGGAAGGGATGTCGAGACCTGGAAATCTTGCAGGAGGTATTGAAGCCACTGGATTACAGAAGCAGTGAATGCAAGAGCGCGATACTCAGCCTCACAGGAGGATCGAGACACGGTATGTTGCTTCTTGCTTTTCCATGAGATGAGAGAATAACCAAGATATATGTAAAAACCAGTGGTTGATCGCCTTGTATCCACACACGCAGCCCAGTCTGAATCTTTGAAAGCTTTCAATTCAAAGGAACCCTTGGAGAGGAAGAACAGACCTGATGCTGGGGGCATATTTGAGGTATCTCAGAACCCTTAGAACAGACTTGTAGTGAATTGTAGATTGAGAGGTCATGAATTGGCTTAGCTGCTGTGTAGCAAAGCTAATGTCTGGATGAGTGGTTGTCTTGGATCTGGTGCAGATTGGAGTGATTGATGCTGCTAGGACCTTGAGATAGAAAACAATGGTAGTTCTTGACAAGATGGGGAGGGGGTTTTGATGTTCTGTCAGAACGTTTGACAGGAGGTTGAGGGGGTGGTGGTGGTGAAGGGGATACATGACATGGATTATCAGAAGGTGATGGAGGTGGGGTGAAAGATGGAGAGGAGGAGGGAATTGAAGTTGATGAAGAGGGGTGGTTAGTACCATCAGTTGATGCAGAGGGTACTACATAGTGAGGTATAGGAGTAGAGGTTGTGTCATGAATCAGAGGAGAATTAGGGGAAGGAAGGGGGAATAGAATGTCTGGATCAGAGGGTGAAGGGTCTGGTTCAGGATTTGATTGAAAAGCGAAGTGTGATTCATAGAAAATGACATCTCTCGAGGTATAAGTTTCATGAGTTGATAAGTCATAGAGCTTGTATCCTGTAATACCAGGAGTGTAACCAATGAATATCGAATTCCTAGCTCTGGGTTGGAATTTGGTTCTGTGGTTGGCCAGTGTGCTGGCATAACACAGACAACCAAAGACTCTTAAGTCAGTGAGGTCTGGTGGTTTGATGTAAAGGGTTTGGAAAGGAGTTTTGTTTGAAAGAACAGGGGTTGGGACTCTATTTATTAGGTGTACTGCATGTTTGACACAGTCACCCCATAAGGCAGGTGGTAAGTTTGCTTAGAATTGAAGGGCTCTAGCAACAGCAAGGATGTGTTGGTGTTTCCTTTCCACCTTGTTGTTCTGTTGAGGGGTTTCAACACAAGACATCTCATGGAGAATGCCTGTTGAGTTAAAGAATTCTTCCATTTGAAATTCTTTGCCTTGGTCACTCCTAATGGTTTTGATGGTGGACTGAAATTGTCTTTGCATCTGGTTGCAGAATGCAATGAGTTTTGGCCTTGCTTCTGATTTTAAATGAAGGAGAATGATCTAGGTCATTCTTGTGTAGTCATCAACCACAGTTCAGAAATATTTGTATCCATCATAAGAGGGGAGGGAGTTAGGACCCCAAATGCCAACATGTAAGAGTTCAAAAGGAAACTGTGTTACAGATTGGCTGATAGGAAAGGAAAGTCGTTTTTGCTTGGCAAAATGACAAACATGATCCTTCTGTGTTGTAATGGAGGTACAAAATTGGTTGAGAAGGGGAATTTTAGAGTGGGATACATGTCCTAGTCTAAAATGCCACAAATCAAAAGTGGATGTAGAGGCAGCATAAATCAACTTAGGAGGATGTGATGCTTGAAGGTAATAGAGTCCATTGTGAAGGCTAGCAGAACCAATCACTCTCTTCAGCTCCAAATCCTATGTAAGACAAGTGGTAGAATGAAAGGATAAGCTTAGTGGTGTTGTGGAGGTGAGTCTGCTCACAGATAGGTGGTTGAAGGTGAAATGGGGAACAAAAAGAGCATTGTGTAGGGTCAAGGCATCATGGCATTTGGTTATGCTAGTGTCAGTTGCCTGTATTTGAGCTCCAGTGGGGAGAGTGATGAACACATTTGACAAAGGCTGTGGATATGTTAAGTAGTCTAAGGAGCAGACTATGTGGTCTGAAGCTCCAGTATCAACAATCCATAGTTTTTTTAGATTAGTGAGAGCATTCAAGACAGGAATTGAGAGAGAAGGGGTGGGGAGTATACCTTTGTTGGTGACAAAAGCAGCAACAGAGAAAGAAGGTTGGTTCTTCTGATCATTCATCAGACTCATGAGCTTGTCATAGTCTGTTATAGTGAGCTTGACCTCATCAGGTGAAGAAGTGCTGGTAACAGCATTAGCAGCAGGTCGAGCTCTTCCAATACCAGAAGTGGGATTTCTAGGCACAAAATTTTGTGGATACCCATTTTTCTAAAAGCACTTGTCCTCTGTATGGCCTCTTCTTTTACAGTAGGTGCAAGTGATTGGAGTACTACTCGAAGTAAATGAAGGTTTGGTCATTCATGGTGGCCAGACATGCTTTTGAAAGCATATATCCTCAGTGTGGCCTTCTCTTCTGCAGAATGTGCAGTAGGGTGGTTTAGCAGAGGAGTTGAACCTCCTGTTTCTTCCTTGGAAGGCAAATGCTAACTGGTCTGTGTGAAGGAGGCCACCATTTTGTTGGATTGACATCCATAGATCTGCCTCTCATGTTGTAGCATTATTTGAAATACTCAATTGATGTTGGGAAGTTCATCACCAAACAGCACTTGTGCTCTGACTCCAGAGAAGTTTTCATTTAAACCTCGAAGAAACTTGATTACATAACTAGTTTCTTGAAATTGAAGAACTCTTGTCATGGCAACACAGTCAATGTGGCTAGTAGGTGTACAGGTACATGGAAGAAGTGGCTGATAATTCTCTAACTCATCCTTTAGAGTAATGAGTTTACCATGGTAGTCGGTAACAGTTTGGTTACCTTATTGCAGGGATGAAAGGGCTTCTTCAAGCTCTGCAATGCGAATGAGGTCACCAGATCCATAACGAGTTTGTAAGATTTTTCATGCTTCTGAAGCTGTTTTGCAAGCAAGAATGGTTTTTCGAATTTCTGAGGAAGTGGACTGTTGGATCCAGCTGAGGATAATGACGTTGTTGCGAGTCCAGGCACCATACCTTGTATCAGTAGCTGTTGACTCAGTAATTATTCCATTGACGAACCCGAGTTTGTCTTTTGCAGCAATGGCATTGAACATGGCCCTGCTCCAGTCATTGTAATTTGTGGCTGTGAGCTCTTTAGCAACAAGGAGAGATCCAGGTTGCTCTGAACCATGAAGAAATAAGGGGTCAGAAGAAGGATCCACAACATTTGGCTGTGGAAGAGGTTGTGGATCTGGTTGTGGTGCAGGTTGGGGCTGAGCTTCGTTGTCAGCCATTGTAAAAGAAGAGTGGCAGCTAGGGTTTTATCCGATACTCTAATACCATAACAAAGCAAGTTTGGAGTGATAAAACCTAGCTCACTTCTCTTTCTCATTAGCTTCACTGCCATTTTATAGGCAGAACAAGAAAGAAGATGACAAACACCATACATTTGTTTTGTAGCTTGGAATGGAAACTACCACTAACTTGGACCGAAAGAAAATACAACAACCAACAGGGAAAGAACGATTGCGTATTGACGCAAGTTCATTACAGCAAATGACATCGCAGCGAAGCATCTTCGACTTGATTCAGAACGACAGCGCAGTGGGAAAGACTGGAAATGGCAGCGTTGTAAAGAGTCCCAGAATGAGGATAGAACGACGTCGCAGAGAAGATGACCGTTGAAATTGATTTTCAATCTGTTAACCCAATACACTGACAGCGAACCCAATGATCACCGCTCGTCGGACCACTCCGTCATCGACGTCGACGCCGGCGCTGTCGAACAGTAACCGCCTGATCAATCTCATTAGTCCCCCTTTCTCGAGTTCGATTGGGCGGAAACGCGGGAGCAAGCCAGCAGCACTACAGTTTAGGGCTTTACCTTCAACCTCCATGGGCTATCACTATCGGGCCTGTGGCCCATAGCACAGTTTTCCGAGCCCGACCCGAGATAGTGGACGATCCTTTATTAGGGGTGTTCAAATGGTTAGCATGGTTATAACCAAACCAAATAAGACTAAATTTCATTAACCATTGGAATACAATATCATAACCAAACCGTCCAAACTAATACAACAACCAAATTAACCAAACTAAAGTTTAATCGGTTTGGTTAATTGGTTAACCAGATTAACCAATATAAAATCACATTATCATTGACGATGAAAATTTTCCGGTTAATGCAACAATTCGCAATTTATATAATGAATAAAACATAACAATCAACACGTAGTTATAGTTGACCCTTAACAAAAATACATGCAACTAAGACAATTATCTTACGATTAGTATAGAAGTATTCACCTAACAAAAAATTATGACAATGGTATGGGTTAATGAATTGTTGTGTTTGTGTAAATTGACTTAGTCTCTTAGCAATTATCATAGGGTGGAAATGACCTTCTTTTCAAGTTTTCATCCATCATAATGTATGAAATTTATCTAAATTAGGCGTCCATATGTTGTGGTCTACATTTTACATATACAAATATACACTATATGAGCAATATTGAGCTTTATATTTTATTTGTCTAAAAGGGATGAACGTTAACTCTTGAGTGGTTATGCAAAGTATTAAGTATGTGTATATAATATATGTTAGGTATATGACTAATTACTTAACTGGTTAATTTGGTTTGACTGGTTAGGAGTGTCTGAAACCAAACAAGCTAAAAACTTTAACCAAACCAAACCAATTATCCAAATTAACCAAACCAAATTATCCAAATAGTACTGGTTAAAACGGTTACCATAGTAACCAAACCGTTTGAACACCCCTTATATTATATGAATCCCGAATCGGCGCTAACCCGGGAAGGAGAAACTTTGGCTTTGCCGTGGCACCGAGTCGGAAACGCTGAAAAGAATGGGGACAAGCGGCGATGGAGGAGCACCGGAGGTGACTCTGGAGACTTCAATGGGCGCCTTCGCCGTCGAGGTACGTCAAAGTCTTTTCCGCCTCACCTTCCGTTTGGTTGCTGAGGAAATTCCGTAGGCAAAGAATAGACGAGTGTTCTTCGGTTCAAATTCGTGGTTTTTACTTTGCGCGCTTGCATAACTAGTAATTGTTTTTGGTTACCTGCAGCTGTATTACAAGCACGCTCCAAAAACTTGCAGGAACTTCCTTGAACTGTCTCGTAGAGGGTACTACGATGGTGTGAAGTTTCACCGGATTATCAAGGTATGGTTCAGGCGGCTAGTTGAGATAGTTAGGGTTTTCTTTTGCTGAGTTGAGTGATTTTGTACTTTACTGATGAAATTTGTTTGCTTTTTTAGTACAGGATTTTATAGTGCAAGGTGGGGATCCTACAGGAACGGGAAGGGGTGGGGAGTCCATATATGGGTGAGTTTTTGTCTCCTATCTCTCTGGAGTTTGAGTGATAGGAGTTAGTTCTATAGTGTATAACGAATGAGCTGAAGTGTGACACTTTCCTTCATTGGAAATACTATTTCCTATTAGGTTCAATTCAGTAGAGTTTTATTGAATTCTGTGATGATTAATAATGATCCTCTTGTTGGAGGGTATTATGCTTTGGCTTGAAAGTTGTCTTACATGGACTCTGTTCGTTTTGGTTTTTGTTATAGTAAGAAGTTTGAAGACGAGATAATGAAAGATTTGAAGCATACTGGAGCTGGGATTCTATCCATGGCTAATGCTGGTCCCGATACAAATGGTAGCCAGTTCTTCATTACATTGGCACCTTGTCCTAACCTGGACGGTAAGCTACTGTAACAACATCACCAAATTTTCTTTGAGTGCCTAGATGTAAAGGGTGATCTTTGTGCTTTAAAGAGTTTTGCCCCTAGGATGGAACCCATTGGGGGGTGGATGTTTTAGTCCAGCCCGGTACCACTAGACCAGCCCTTTGGAATCATCAATCTGTGCTTGTTTAGGCATTGTTTGTTGAGTGATTGATATTGAATTACAGTTGTCGGTTTGAGGGCTTTTTCGCAAGTGCTACATGACTTGATTGAAAAACTGGTGTTTCCTTTGCCCTTTTAAAGTCAATTGATGTTTTTAAAACTTCCTGTAACGCTTGGGCTGTCATCCTATGGGGGCTAACGTAACCCCAGATCTTTTTCTCGGTTAAAAGTTTTCTTCTTGCTTGTGCAGAAATAGGAAGTGAACAGGGGCTGTCATCCTTCGGCCCTGTTTACTTTCATTTCTGTTTCTTGTTTTTTGAGAAAACAGATGTTGAAAACAGGTGAAAACAACATTTCGTCGTTTCCGAAAACAGCAGGAAGTTGCCACTTTCTGTTTTCATAGTTGGAAACGAATAGAAAACAGAATGAAAAATAAACAAGTTTTCTCGTTTCGGTTGCCAAATTTATGACATGAAAACAGAAAACATGAAACGAAAATGGAAGTGAACAGGGCCTTCGAGTATGCACGTATCAGATGCGATCATTTATTTTCTTATGCTGACATGTTTATTGGCTCTGAAATCAAAGTCTTTGCTGATAGGCTTTATGTCTAGCGAACATTTACGGATAGTTTTGTGTCTATTGTGCAACAACTTATATTCCACCATTAAGTTTTCTTCATGATCAAACTTTGTAGGGAAGCATACTATTTTTGGAAGAGTCTGTGGTGGGATGGAGATAATCAAAAGACTTGGGAGCGTCCAAACTGACAAAAGTGACAGGTAAATTTTTTTTAAATGCGCATTTTTTATTTATGAACCTTGACTTCAAAACAAAGGAATTTGCTGCCACCAAGCTAAACAGGCTCAGTTTAGCTTTAAACTTCCATAGTTCTGGTGGATTGCTACAATGTTTTTACTAAGAGCTGCTTACTTCATATGATCTGTTTGATGCATTGCAGGCCCATTCATGATGTGAAGATATTAAGAACGTCCGTCAGAGATTAAATGATGCAAGGATAGACTATTAATCCAGATAGAAGGGATTATCAATCAATGTTGAGAACCGCTTTCAGACCTGAAGCTGCTGAGAATGTAATTTGGCTTCAAGGAGGCACTGTTTTGGGCCTCAATAGCAATTATGGATCTCAACCTGCCATGTTTGCAGAATTGCTGATGTCATGATTAGCATATTCGATAGAGAACTCACATGCGTTCTGATGGCATTGTGTTAGGTTCCTGATCGAAGACTAACATTATGACTAGCTTTAACTTTCCTCCTTTAGATTCGGATGGTTTATCTCAATGAAAAAGTTATCATTTGTTAGCGAAAGCTAAAATATTAGATTGTGGAAGCTAAGGTCAATTTAATTTGTCTAGCCTCCGAAAGAAAACAGGCAAGCGCCGAACTGAAACATGCCAACCCTCATCCTGGGGAGGAGAAACAAGAGAAATAGTGAAGATGGCAGCCTGAAATTGCTCTATAATTTCACTTAGATCGTCATATGTAACAGTTGGAAAATACTAGCTCGCCTACCACTACTCTTCCCTTGCTTCTACTCAAGGTTGTCAAACCGCGGGTCGACCCGGACCCGGACGAGCTAGTGGGTCATGGGTCAATGGGTCACCCGTTTTAGTCCGGTTTAGCCCGGCTTAGCCCGGAAATCTGAAAAGAGCCAATGTATTCTATTTATCCTGAATCCAAAAACCTGAATATCACAAAATGGTATCAAACCATAGCTATACGAAAGAAAGAAACCATTTATTGGAGTCAAGTCTCAAAGGTCAAACCCTTACCAAATGAAACCATTCACAAAATTCGTTTCCATTTACAAAATTGTATCAACCATTCATTCGTTTCCATTTACAAAATTGTATCAAGTCTCAGAGATCAAACCCTTACCAAATGGATATTGAGTTTGTGAAGAGTGAAGACTGAAGAGGCGGTCGGGCAGAGGCGGGTGGGTAGAGGAGGCCGAGCGCTTCTCGCGAGCGGAGGCGGCCAGGCAGAGGAGGCCGAGCAGAGGCGCGACTCGCGAGCAGAGGTGGCCAGGCAGAGGAGGCCGAGCAGAGGCGTGAGCAGGGCCGAGCAGAGGCGGAGCTGAAGGGAGGAGAGACGGAGCCGTGAAGGCCGACCTGATCTTCCGCCGGCGACCGCGACCACGCCGCCAAAGAACCCTGGAGATGGCGAGAGCAGGACACGGCTGCGCTGCAGCCTGATGGAAATCGAAATGGGCGGCTAATGGAGTCTCTAGAGTCTAGGGTTTCGCTGCAGGGAGAAGAAGAAGTGGACCGTCCAAGCCAAAACGGCGCCGTAACGGCCAAAACGGGGCTCAGGAAGATCAGCCCGCTGACCCGTTCCAACGGGCTAACCGGCCGGGCCAACCCGGGTTTGACCGGGTTTATCCGGGTTTGACCATTTCCGGGCTGATAGTAAAATGGGTTAGTATGGCCCGTTTTTTTGGCCGGGTCCGGGTTAATCCGGGTCGACCCGCGGGTCGACCCGCGGGTTAACAACCTTGCTTCTACTGGTTCCCTTCCCGAAGAGAAGAGAGTACACTAACGCTACCAGACAACGTCAAGTATCTTCCATTTACAAAACCAAAGAAAATCTAGTTACCTATTAATCATGGGAAAGAACACCTCAGATGCCCACCTAACTACAACATCAGGTTTACCCTCGAATCCAAGCCGTCACAACTCTTGGACCCGGCAACCCTTCTTCCCCAAAAAAAAAAAAAAAATTCCCCTGCAGCGAACACACATACAGAACTTCTTAGCCCCCACCCGTTTTTACCTTCACTTGCTCTATGCATCCAGCTCCAGATACTGGAAGGGTAAACCCGTATAGGGATCACACATCATCTCATGATGAGCCATTTCACTTCGACTCTGATCTTGTGGTATGCAGAGCGAGATTCTTAACAAATCCCATTCTCGTCACAAAAATGATCGACCATCGATGATGGTGCTGGACTGCTGAATCCATTCTCCTTGATTGCAGATCCATGCAGCAAGTCTTCTTCTCTTGAGCTAGTCATGCTCGAGATAGTAGTTTGGGCTTGTTGAGAGTTGTCGTTGGGTGCTTCTGAAATTCCTTGCTGTTGTTGTACGAGTTCCATCATGTGTTTCGAAGATGGCATGTCACCCATGCAGTATCTCCGCCACATGTCCCGGTACGCGGACTCCAAGCCGAGGGTGAAGTTTGCTCCATCGCATACAGGCGATTTGGACATAAGATCTCGGAGCCTCATCCTCAAGCTCGAGAGAGCATCAACATCTGAAGCCAGCTGCAGTGCCAGTTGAACATACTCGTCCTCATTTTTTGCAACAAGATTTTCTAGCCCTGTACATTGCAATAACCGACAGCACAAAACTCAGCTGAGTTTAATATAAACTCATAACACTGGTTTATGGCGTGTTTGCTTTAGCTTTAGCAAAAAGAAACTAACTTGTTTATAAGTTTCAGAAAAAAGGAAGGAAAAAGTGTTTGGTTAATGGTTAGAATAAAAAGAATAGCTGTTTGTGTTAATTAAAAATGCGTTATCGGGAAATGACTGCTAAGAACTTGTTTCAAAATTCAAATGGACAAATTTGGAAATGAAAACGTTCCAGTAAGGGACTTTTGGTTTCTAATAAGTTATAGATTAGAACGAATAGTATTTTTACAGGTCGGATCGAAGAAGTGTGTTTGTTTCAGCTTTAAGTCCTCCTTACCTTTTCTTTGAGCTGAAAAATCGCCCCCCTTGCCATGGCAGATAATCAATGACACTAGACAAGTACAAAGAAAGGTGTCTCACCTACTTTGCTGAGAAGACTAACACCAACGTTGTGAGCATGTACTGCTCCAGACATGGTAATACATGGCACTCCCATGAACAAAGATTCACAAGTTGTTGTTGTTCCAGCATACGGGAAGGTATCCAAACTACATGAAAACAGAAAGAAGTTGTATACCATGACAATTTTTTCACACCAGAACCAGTAAGCAACATCCTAAATACACAACAGAACAACAGAGATAAACCAATCATGGTATATTGGTATATAACCGTGTTTCAAAAGTTAAATCCATCAACCATTGAAACTCTCAAGAAATTGACCAGATATTGCACACATATTGTATGGGCTGGCATTTTAGTTGGTATTACAGTTATTAGGACAAAAGAGTCCAAGTTAAAAACAATGGGTTTCTGTGACAAGGTGACAAGATTTTTTCTGCAGAAGTTATTTGCTGCATAATTTGTTAGGTTAAGACTCATATTGTCAATTTATCAAGCAAGTACATAATCGGATATTAGAAGCACAGCTATAGCCTATAGGAGACAAAAACATCTCAGATGTAAGTCATCTCTCCAAGCCATTAAGAGCGGTGCAGGAAATCTTATGTCGCATTTTAATACAAAAGTTTATTGTTAATGATCTCAGTATGAGGTAGCACAAGCAGACAGCCGGGAAAGTAGAGGCTACGAAGAGAAAAATTCCATATCACAGGGTTAACCAGGAAAAGCACCTGTGTTTATCATAAAGAATGGTATCTTCAAATCATATACATAACAGGATCCAAGAAGTAAGACCTAGTGAAACTGGCAGAAAAAAAACTTTACCAATGAGGTGCAAGATGCTCCTAGCTTATTAACTTATATAACAATGGGTCAACCAAGACTCATAACATGAAAAGGGAGGTATCAAATTAGCATCTGATGAAAGCAGTACTACAGCAAAAGTGAACTGCACCACTGATGCTTTCCAAGAAGGTAGCAACACAGATCAATTATGTCATTAATTATTAATTCAAGATCTCACCTGATGTCCATGAGAGAATATGCTTGCATATGATCATGGTTCAGAAGAATTAGAGGCAGAAGATCAACACGCAATGGTTCCAACCCTAGCTGCTCCAAGGTCGTCAGGAATTTCTGTCTAACACTATCGCAACAGAATGGTTTGCATTTAACAACCAGGCGGGAGTTTGGAACTGCACACAGAATCCTAGCCCACACTTGCAGTACTCTAGGCGTTATCTGTCAGGGAGAGAAAGTTGCAAACAGTGGAGAGTTAAAAGGATCCTCGCCAACCACAATAACGAGTTTTACTTGGACTTGGCGAATAAGATAACCCTACTATCTCCTGATACATACCTTTGCCAGATTGTTAAAACTTCCAAATGTTATAAAGCCATTGGACACAGCAGGAGCGACTGAAACTGGCCCAGCTTCCGGCGACGGAGTGTAACAAAGAAAGGATCCTGGTAATCGGACTAAATCTTCAACATGCCTACAAACAAGTAAGAGCCTTTAGCACAAATATCAGAATAAACAATAGATATTACCAAGCTAGAGGATAAACATGCCAATCAGCACTGACAAAAGTAAAAGAGAGGAGGTGGAAGAAGCCATACTTCTGTTTACTATCTGGTGGATCAGCCAAGGAATCAGTGATTCTGTAATCAATGCTAGGTAAACCAGTTGTGTTTGGATAGCCTATCCATGTAACCTGAGGGGAAAAAAACAATTATCAAACAAAATCGCCGTATATTAAGAGCATAAGCATATTGCAACGCCCAGGAAAGTCCACATTTCAGGTAAACCTAAAAACAGCTATTTGCAAGAAATATACAACACAAACTCCAGCTCTGAATTGTACAGATAAATTAAGCATCATCATAGTTTGCCGCACCTAAACATAAATGTCCCATCACTGTTATCACTGATGACTTCCTCTCACTAGTAGAGCATATAGGCAAGAAGTAACAGGATTGAAGCATTCCTCTGAAAGAATTCTACATTTTATGTCCATTGTTGGTTAGATAAAGACCCCTCTTACAGATTCCAAATTGCTCATACTGAAGACAAAACACCAAATAACATCGAAAAAGATGAATGTACCAACATGAATTACAATTAGAGGGGGAAAAAAGCAGGAAAAGTCTGGCCACACTTGCTATCCAAGAGCAAGCAGTTCCAAAGTTGTTTCCACTTCTCTCTTCTAGAACAACATGAATGTTTAGCATAAAAATCAGAAGCAGAAAGCAAAACAAACTTTCCCAGTTGTGCCAATAACTCAATGCATACCTGAACAGGTGCTGGTCGACACGCTATAGTGCCCAATTTATTGTTAGCAGTATGTCCAGTTAGTTCCACTAAGATGTCAACGTTGTCTTCTCTGACCAAACCTGCCACCCTCTTTTCATCAATTCCATATATGTCTCTCCATAACCCTCCTTTTTTAAGGACTTTCTCTCTAAACCTATTAGTTTTTGCGTCTGCCTGTAATCCATCAGAAGCATAGATATTTTGAGCAAGTGCGTAAGATAAACCCACAACTTAATAAACAGTCGAAACATTAGGCAGACTGAAGAACAGCTATGAAAACATGGAAAAAGCCACCACCATAAGAATGCCAACAGTTGACAAGAACAAACCCTGACGAGCAGAAATGTCATGAGCTATGTAACAACAATAATAATAAAAAAAAAAAAACATTTTCCAAAGCCAGAATAATGCAATTATAAGGGGCCTAGATTAGCCTACATGACAATAGTCAGATAATCTGCAGCCGCAAGATAGGTGCAAGTCAAGACAGAGACATATTCACAATGCAAGAAGAAAAACAGCCTAGAAAACCAAAACATAAGCAAAGACAAGCATGGATGAAGATGGCACACGCCTATACACATCAAAATTTAGTAAAACTGAATAGTGATAGTATGATACCTTAACAACTGCCGAATACAAAACTACTTTGTACTTTGTATAGTCGTGATAGACAAGGGGTGCCTCAATGAAATAAGATACAGAATGAGTAAAATAATCTGGAGATACATATCCAATGACAAGTGGTCTTTCTGGTTCTTTTGGGTTGTCCCAGGAAGTGGATTGAGGATACAGCCTCATAAAGCGCCTACCCCAATCCCTGCAAATTCATTTCAATTATAGATCAACAAACAAATCCAGGTCCAATCAACAGACAACGAAACGGCAAGGAACTTCAAACTTATGCCAACATTAAACCAGGTTGAGGAAAAACTGACTAGGGAAGGCTTCGAGGACAAAAGCCAATAACAGCAGACATATAGCAAGGAAACCCATAAATGACGAGTGAACCAAATGGACGTGATTCCGAAGTTATGCACTTGTAAGTGCATTGCAGATTTAGTTGTGGAAACATTCGTTCACTATTTCTAAACAAGACACAAAGAATACAAGAAGTATCACCAAGAGCACGCTGTAAAATGCCTTGATCGACACTTATTCTTTGTTCAGTTCCAAACTGTGCTCACCCTCGGGTGACTAGCACACACGTCACTAAGTTCTAACAAGTAGACTGAGACCCCGTAGATTCAATCCAGATTTGCTAATAATATCAACTAAAAGCTAACACAAAATTGTGAGCTGACATAGATCTTGTTAAGAGTACTGTTCAAAACCTGTGTGTCTCATATAGCTCATCATCATGTCCCTCGTGTATGTAGTTCATAGCAAGCAATCGATTCTGCATTGTAGTACAGATAAGCAATCAGTTATGCAATATCAATTGATTCAGTTCTTACTTCGTCTCAATCTTGAGAGAGATCAATTTTAATTTTTAGCTAAACAAAGATCATGTACAGTAAGCAGGGGGAAAAAACAAAAGCTGCTTCTGCCATAAACTAAACTGATAACTAACAAAGCAATTCATAATCTTGAAACATGCTGAAAACACAACACGAACCAATAGAAAAGAGAGGATATGAAACCAAGAATATATGCAGTCATCAGAAACAGTGAACACTTTGTATACAGTGATAACCAAGGCACCTACACCAACACAAGAAAGACGGTAAAAGGAAGACAGAAGTATTTTAGGTGTTGGAGTATGAAACTATGGAAATCGTACCTGGCCAGCATTACGAGAATCTGGATCTATCTGAAGGCATTGCTCGTATGCAGTAATAGCCATAGATATATTTCCAGCATCTCTATAAAGGACCCCTGCAAAAGCATAATAGAACATTAGGCAAGCAGGAAAGACCCAAGCCTGCGATGCAAAAAAAAACAGGGATCAAGTTACAATCTCAGGGTACTGCTAATCACGGTTTATCCATGCAATGCTTGAAAGTCAACAAAAGTTGCAAACCACACATGACATTACCCGTGGCTATGCACGTGAAGTGGTATAGGGAACAGAGTAAAGTCCTGCAGATGAAGAGAAATACCCAAATTATTGTATGCTTCCGCATAAGTAGGATTAGCTAATATCGCTTTCTCAATCATGCTTGCAGCTGCGTCCATCTTTCCCTGTTAACAAGGAAAAACTGCATTAGTGGACAAGTGGATGTTTCACAGAAGTACACAGGGTGCCACAATATCAAACCTGGACTGTGTACACAACGCCAAGGTTGTTCAGTGACTGGGAGAAGTTTGGTTTGATTGATAAAGCCAGCTGCAAAAATATTGTTCAACACTAATTATTCACAGAACTCTACAGGTTAGAACTAAATTCAAATCTGCCACGATTAGAGAAAGTTGCCTGGTAGCACTCCACTGCTTTATCAAGATTGTCCCTGTCCTTGTATATTACTCCCAAATTGTTGCACGCCTCAGCACAATGAGGATTGAAGTGGAAAGCAAGTTCGTAGCACACAATTGCCTGGAACAAAGAAACAGAACAATGGGTTATAAGAGATCAGGATGAGCAATTCCGTAATCTAACTAATACGCATCATTAACAAAGAGTTTCTAGGCTGATTTGGATTCTGCTTCAACCAATACACCTTGTCTGATAAACGACTAAGCACCTAATTCATCCATGTGTAAGCACAGAAATGAAATTAACAGGTCACATACCATATCAAACTTCAGCATCTCACCATAAGCAACACCAAGATTGTACATAGCATCAGCATAGTGCCAATTATAATATAAAGCCTTCTTGTAATATGCCACACCTTGACTGATGTCTCCCTCCAATTTAACCTACGCAGTGAATTCACTGAACCAAAATCAGGTATAAAAACAATCAAAATAAAGAAAAGCAAATATATGTATACCAAATCGGCTAATTGACCACTCATCGCTAGGACAATAAGCAAAATAACTCCATAGAAAAGTTTCACCTCATATACTGAGGAAAGTGAAATGGTCCAGCAAGAAATAGACAGCAATGGGAATGGAAAACCCACCTTTGTGCCTAGATCTGTCAATGCTATTGCCATATTATTTTTGGCAATCTCAAAATTAGGTGAAACAGCTAAACACCTGCAACAAAAGAACCATTAGTCAATGAGTGGATCAGTAACCACAAAGATCAAATGATAGCCCCAAATGCAATTTTTAGATGACTGCCAACTGGCATAGTACCTCTCGTAACAGGCAATTGCTAACTCTAAATCACCTCGATTTTTGTGTATGACACCCATATTGCAATATGCTTCTGCATACATGGGCCTCTCCAGGGCAGCCTTTTCATAGCAACTAAGGGCAGTGTCATATTTCATCATTTCAGAATATACTACACCAAGATTGTAATATGCAGGCTGCACGTAAGAAGCATGACTATGAGAATCTTAACCAACTTGGAAGCTGCTTTTTTTTCAGAGCAATGCTTGGAAGCTACAATAAGCTAAAAGTATCAGATAGAGTGGTCTAAAAGAAGCTAGGAATATATGAATTACTGCATAGTGTGGATCTATATTAAGAGCTTCATAGTACTTCTGAATCCCCTCTTGGACATTGCCAGAAAGCTTTAAACTCGTTCCGAGATCTGTTAAGACAATTGCTAGATATTCAGCAGCTGGCTTATATGAAGGATCTGCATTTAGAGCCTTCTGATATGACTGCACAAAACATAGAAAATGCAACTAATGAAAGCGTGATCTATAGTTTTCACACAGTTGAAAAACACATAGAATGCAACACTTAACCACAATGCAGAAGAGAAAGCCACCAAGTACCACGTTTGTTTACATATTGGCGAAGTGCAAGAAAAGAATAGTAGGAACAAAGAAAAAACTGAACTTTCACGATAAATAAAGATAATGTTGGTGCAAGCATATTCTACTACCACTACCAAGTACCAAATCAAACTAACCTCTAAAAGCAGCAATTATACATAAGTAATAAAATAACCTAATATATTCATATGAAAAAATAAAAGCATAAGATCCAATCTTGGACCTCATCCGACAATTCAAATTATTCAGTCATTGTTTTACGACATACCCTCATTTTTTAAGGCAGTGACCCTCACCCTCCTTGTTACAACGAATTTGTTATGGAATCTAAGAGATACTACAGAGTGTGTGGTCAACCTAGCTGCTTATTCCTTATGCTATGAAGTGAAATGAGACACATTCTGCTTCTGCCTGCCAGTTTTTCAGTCAATGTTCAACAACCAAAAGAAAAGGGAAAATAACATATCATGAAAATTGCAATAATGGCCAACAGATCAGCACTTCTGCTACCAACTAATTTTCTTTGAGATGCCCTGACAATCAAAGAAGGATAATGCAAATACCTCAGCAGCATCAACTAGACGACCTTCATCTTTGTAGAGTATGCCACAATGAGTGAGGGCACAGGCATTGTGAGGTTCTATCCTGACAGCTTCAGCAAAACTGTCAAAAGCTAGCCTTCCCATGTTCTGCATCTGGAGGCATATCCCTTTCCCAATGTAAGCTTCAACCTTCGCACCATCTTCCTCCAATATCCTCTCATAGAGAGCAAGAGCATCAGCAAACTTGTTTCTGGATCGAAGAATATTGGCATAATTCAAGGCATCCTTCCCTTGGAAATGCTTCTGCAATGAAGCCATAGCCGCAGGACTGCCACTGGCACAAGGAGAAGACTCTGATTGCTTTATGAAACCATTATCACCCACAGGTTCTCCCTCTTTCCCGTTATTGGCAGCATCCTCAGGCAATGCCATCTAGCCCGTGCACAACCTCAGCTTCCTTCCAAAAGAAAGGAAAATTATCCAACTTATTCAACGTCTAAACAAGCCCCTTCCATTCTAAGGAAAACATTGCCAAAACCAAGCCCTCTAGGTATAAAGATTTCAACTTTCTTGGAGGTTAAACAATGAGATTCCAATTTCATCGGAAATATTGTACCTCCGGAGATAACTAAGTCCACAACAAGACAAGTAACAGCAATAAAAACCCACTTGACATGCCACAAGAATTTCAAGCAACCACACCACTTATATTAAATTGATACAATTAATCTCATCAAGCTCGAACTTATCATAATTTTTTCTCGAGCAAATGAAAACCCTCCAAGACCATTTCAGGGGAACAAATGAGAACTTCTAGAACGACACTTTAAACCCTAGCAAAACCTCTAAAACGAGAAACCCAATAACTAGGATAGGAGGAAAAATGTGATCCCAATTTCCAACGCCACGCATTCTAAAGTACACCAAGCCAGGGGAAATGAAAAAGGAGAAGAAGAAAGCTTCAAATTTTGGGGAGTGAAATACCAGAAAGGACTGTCAAAAAAAATACCAGAAAGGGAATTTAGGGATTCACGGACTTGCATTCACAGTAGAGCAGAACCCTAGGTAGTACGACGAAGCACACTTGCAGCAGCAAGGTGAATATCTCAGCTTTCGGGCAAAGGGGGAACCCCGGAATAAGCAGGAAAGACGGCGTAGGTTAAGAGGAGAAGTCCAAGTAAACACAGCTGAAGACCTCTATGGAAAGAAAAAAGAGTGAAATGGAATTCCAAGGAGAAACAGGGAGAGAGAGTTTGAACGTGAACGTGAAGGGAGGCGGAGACGCCGCGCCGCAGCTCTCTCTCGCCCTCCGACACGGAAGATAGAGTTGGAATTTGTCCAAAAAATTTTACAAATTCCACCCGGGATACAATTTAGTACTAGGAAAAATGTCAAAATACACATATATTTAAAAATAATATTAAAATACAGAATTCTCAATTTACATATGTTTGGGCATTCACCACGGCGAATACATCACCGCGGCCGATTAAAGTGGTGAATGCATTACCGCGGCTCACCAAAGCGATTAATTCCTAATATACATTGAAAATTCAAAAGAACGTAATTTTGCGCTCGATTATCTGATTCTAGCGATTTTTATTATTCCGCATAATTTTTCGAGATCTTGCCAGCAGAAAGCAACCCATAGACGGTTTGGTCCCCCACCCGTCAAGAAAAAACGTCGTTTGCTACCCCGAACGAGCAATTTTTCGATTTTGCCAAACTTTGACCCACCATAACTTTAAGTTCCGAAATCCGAATGTTATGATTTTTTTTATTTCGCATAACTTTCTATGGACTACAACTTTTATCATAGCCATATTTTCGGAATGTATGTGGATTTGTGAAAAGTAAAGGCAAAGTTATTTTCAAAACCCCGTATATCCAAAAATACTTCTTGTTTTGAAAATTCCTTTCTAGTAAAACATGCAGCACTTGACGGCGGCGCGACAATCCTTGACGGCAGCGCGACGATCCTTGATGGCGGCGCGACGAAGCGGACTGAGGTAGGCTTCTTGTCCTTTCTTTATTCATGGATACAAATGTTCGTTTCTTTTTATTCGAGTTAGGATTTTATGGATTCGACGGTATCTAGGTTTTTCTTTTGCTTCGATTTTCTAATGGGTTTAGTCGATTTGTTTTCTGGTTTCATGGATTCGCTGGATTTGGATTCTTTCGAGCCTTGTCGTTCTTTAGGATGGGTGTTGTGAATTTGTTTTCTGTGGCATGGGATGCAAGTTGTTTTGTGGGTTTGAGATATCAGTTGTGACTTTCCTGGATAGTTTTTTGTTGTGTCTGGATGTCAATTCATTGATATTAGTTTTGACAGTAGCGATATCAGTTTTATGCTTGCCTGGATATTGTTTTGATGTAACTGGATATCACTTCTTTTATATTAGTTGTCATCTTTAGGGATATCATTTGTATAATGGACTGGATATTTGCTTGACGAATGTGGATATGATTTGATTGATATTACTTCTGAACATTTGGGGATATTGGGCATGTGAGGTCCAGATATTAGTTAGCTAATGTAAGGATATTTGTCTGTGCAGGGAAATCATAATGGCAAGAACTAAAATGATTGTAAAGACACACTGATTAGAAGGCAAATCCTCCAGGCCTAAATGTAGCAAACAACCACAGGAAAATAAGGACCAGGAATATGAGGACCTAGAAAATAAGGACCAAAAAGAGGAGGACCAAGACGATGAGGACGAAGAAGATGAGGAAGAAGTTGTTGAAGGAGGGTGCCAGTCATGGTACAGATTTCTCTATAGCACCAGCAAGGTGCTGTCGATTATAAAATACTGGAAGCAAGATGCACGGTACTATGAAGCTTGCAAGAAAGAGCTCGAGAAGGCCGGATTTAGAGGCCTATTGGAGATCCGACTGACCAATGTTTCTAAGAAGATGCTTGATTTCTTGATGGCACATTACGACCGGGCTACTGATAGCTTCATTTTTAGTGAAGGGGACAACAAGAAGGTGCTCACCATCGAACTTGAGGATGTTGCCTGTGTATACGACATTCTTACTGGTGGTGCTGAGATTGACCTTGTGAGATCTAACAAGAAGATGCTCGAGGTTCTGAAGGAGGATCTTGGCATGCAAGGTAATCGTAGCCGAAATATTTCTTGTGGCAATGACTAAAGCGGCTCGTGGAGGTCAAGATAGGAGGAGACCACCTGTTGCGGTTGCAGTGAAGCAGTCCTGTTGGTGGCTCTTGGGTCGTTGCTCGTTTCAACCAGCTCACGCATCTGTAAGTTGGACTATGCAAAGTACCTCCTGGGAGGGTGGAGGACATTCGCACTTTTTAATTGGAGTGCTCATGTTGTCTGTGAGCTGAAGCTAGAGATGTCTATCACTAAGAAAAGAGAACCTTCTGCTAGGGCGCTGGGGAAAAGATGCAATGGCTCCAAGGTGATGTCCACTTCTTGATGGTAAGTTATAATTTAACATTGTGTATCTTGTTCATTTCATGCGTGATATTAGTCAGCATTCTTGGGATAGTAATTAGCATGGCTGAGATAGTGCTTTTCTTCATACCAGATATTTGATTAGAATGCATGCGATATTATTAACCATAGTACTTCTTTTCAAGCCAGATATTAGTTCGTCCCATGCGTGATATCAGTTATAATCCTTGGGATAATAATTAGCATGACTGGGATAGTAGTTCTTATCGTTCCAGATATCATTTCTTATCATGCGTGATATTAATAACCAAGCCTGGGATACTACTAATTAAAGATGTGCATATTAGTTATATTTGGAAATTACTTCATTCATTGACTCATATAAATTAAACGTTTTTTGTAGCTTCATTTGCTAGACTTCCTTACCGTCAAAGGATATGGCACAAACACCATCCTGAGCTGCAGCTTGATGACTCGATATTTGCACATGTTTCCCCCTTTGTTTCTTGATTGTTTAAGCTTGCATTATCGCTTCTTTGGCCTATTTTACGCTAGGTTGTGTTCCTTTGTTACATTTCAGGTCCTAGCACATAAAGTGAAGCATTGGCGCAAGTTTCAAGTCAATCAGAGATCAATTGGCGATTCGGAAGAAGAAACTCGGGCATGACCTGAAGAAGAATGGATTTCCACCTCACTTTATGGACAAATAATCATTCAAGTTTGTCATGAAAAGAAAGATGACGAGACTACGAGCGTCTGGGATCAAACGGCGACTGATTCGAAGTCCGGACGAGGGAGAAACGAAGCATTGAATATAGGGGAACAGGTTCGGCAGTAAAAACACGGGCGCGCCTAAATCAAAACACGGCCGTGCCCATATTTAGGAACGACCGTGTTTTGGCCGACGCTCGCGGGCGTGTTTTTAACACGGGGCAAAACACGGGCGGGCTAAATCAAAACACAGTCGTGCCCTCGACCGTGTTTTGCCCATAATCGGGTTTTTTAACCCAAATTCGAGCCAAAGGAGAGGGAGAGCTGGATTTTGGATCCCAAACACCCAAGGGACGAACCAAAGAGAGAGAGGGCGATTTGAGGGCATTCTTGGAGTGGAATTGGGGGATTTCTTTGCCTTGGAAGCTCGAGGAACAAGCCCGGACTTGAAGACTGACCATCTGAAGATTCTTACTGCAGTCTCTCTCTTCTCTATGGAGTAACTTCCCTTCACTTAGGTTTTGAGGAACCCTAGCTATGTTTGTTTGATTGGATGATTGTATGAGTACTCTTACTTGATAATCTTGAGTTCATATTCAATCTATGCATGTTTTCATGATTCAATTCTGCTTTAGTCGAGATTATTGATTCTGCTTTGATCCTACGAGAGCGAATACCTGATTAGGTCAACAGAGCACCATAGATTAATAGTATTGGATCGATTGCTTTAGTCGAGGGTTGATTCAATGCTTTGTATCGATTGAGAACCTCATTCGATAGAGGGAATCTAGTTTAGAACGCCTTGATCGGTTGTTCTAGAGAAGGATATGTCCCTCTAGGCAATTGACTCAAGAGGGCCTTGTTCCTTTAGTCGAGACTCAAGGTCTAGTCAAGGATTCTCCACATTGTGAATGAAAGTGAAACAGGTTAGAGATCATCAATCATTAATCTGGCTAGTGGCTAGGGGGAATCATACCTAAGTGAGTTCCCAACCTGTAATTAGATTAACTTTAACTGTAGTTTGTTAGAGTAGTTTTAGTTCTTCCATCTTAATCTGGTTTGCTAGATAATGAACTGAAGCTGAGTAATAGTAACTCTAGAGACCCGTGGATTCGATATTTATTACTTGTGCCACTATATTGCAGTTCCTTTCATTGGTTACACTTGGCTTATGTTAGGAGTTGTGTCATAGCGAGTCAAGTTTTTGGCGCCGTTGCCGGGGACTTTCTAGAGTATTAGGAAAGGCAGAAGTTTGTTACTTTAGCGTTTTTCTTTTCTTTTCCACCCTTGCTTTTCACTTGGGTGTTTTTGTTTCTGTTGGTGCAGATTTGAATCATGGATCCTCATGGCTTCTCCAATCATTGGGGGTATCCCCCACCATCCGAGTGGTATTACCCCGAGACTCCCTGGAGCAATCAAGGAGGAGAAGACTATGGATTCGGGTTCCAGTACCAACCCCCTTACTACGGAGAACAACCGAACCCCTGGGCATATCAAGAACAACCTCATTATCAAGAAGAATTTCTCCCACAACCAGAAGGGCCATTGGCGCTGGAGTTACCCATGGCGGCCTTCATGGGCCATTCTGCAGAGCCATGCTACACTCCACAGCCAGATCCAAACTATGAATTGAGGCTTCTCATGGAGCAGTTTGCTCGAGATTGTGAGAGATCATGCTCCAGGATGGATCATTGTATCCAGGCCTATCGTGAAACAGAGGAGATCCTTCTGAGCCTTAAGAAGAGCGCCGATGATCTTGAGAGATCTTTCGCACAACCTGCTCCAGATCACCCTTCTGCTACCATACAAGAAGAGGAGGAAGAAGAAGGCTACAAGGACATAGTGGAGCACACTGAAGTTGTCACGGAGAGCTCCCGTGATGATCATGATCAGGAATGTCATATCGTAGCCGACCATCCCTTCCCACATCCCACACCGAGCTTTGAAGATGCGGGCATGAGTGAGGAGATGCAAGAAGATCTCATGAAAGAAATTGCTTGGCAACTTGCTCTCCAATCCATGCTAGAAGAAGAAGAGCAAGAAAGGGTGCAGAAAGAAGTTTTGGAGGATGACGAAAGTGAAGCAGAAGGAGTTCTTGATCATTTCCCAGGGGTGATACCACATGAAGAAGAAAGGGGGGGTTGAAGAAGCAATTGGCGTCCAGGCTGAGGACGAAGTTGAGGTGGAAGAGGCTTGCACCGGCCATGAGTTACATTTGATATCTCCA